GTTTCCCCTCCACTGGAGTAATCCTTTGGTGACCACTCAGACTGGTTTTCCACCAGGTCTGTAGCCCTTCCGTGGTGCAAAACAGGGTAGGATGGGAACAAGGATCTGGGCCCTTATCTCTAGCAAAAGGAGGTTCTTTTCACACACGTAAATAATTAAAGTGTGGAACTTGGTGCCACCAGATATGCTGCCAGCTTAGCTGGATTCAAAAAGAGATTGGATACATCCTTGGAGGACAGGGGCATCAGGAGCTACTGAGCACAGGAGGCAGGGACACAGCCTCTGAATCAGAACTTCCTAGACCCTAAATGCTGGAGGCTGCAAGAAGGAGAGAAACGGGGGAAAACCCCTGGTCAGACCCAGTTCGCTCTCCCTTTCAGCATCCGCTCTCTGCCCCTGTGCGATGCAGGAGCCTGGGCCAGATGGACCTCTGGTCTGACCTAGTCAACGGCAATTCTTATGTTGTTAGGGCCTAAGTGCATGGCTTGTATTTCAACTCCATCCCACATCTATTACTCTAGCCCTTGCTGCACGAAATCCCAATCCCCACCTGTATGGACCCTGCCTTCCAATACGGAGTCAGCAGTGGACATCATTACCCCACTCCAGCTCTTATCTTGGCCCTGCCCAGAGACGGGGGGTTCGCTTTTCCTCACCAGACCCTAGGGTCCCTCCCAGCCCTGATCTTCAGCAAAGGGGAAAGCAAGGAACCAAACCAACTAATTGAGGCTGGGCAAGGCCATTAAAGACACATTTCACCTCGGAGCCACTTAACGTGTGCCCAAGACACCATGCTTAACGCACAACCAACGAGCCCGGTGTTTGCCCGCCTCCGATTGGCCACAACGCCATTTAGTTGTTTACCAGGGACCTACGAGAAAAGCCATTCCAGCTGCTTTTTTATCAATACCCTTTACATTTATTCTACCAAAGTAAACAAGCCCCATCTGGCCCTCTCATGTTTTATGTAGGCTGCTCTAAGCCAGTTGGTAATGAATAAAAACAGACCCACAGGTCCTCGCCCTGCTCTCGTCTTCCTCCTCCACCCCATCCAGAAGCATGTCCTGCGACTAACTGTTCATCCTGGGCATCTCCAACCAGAGAGGTCGGGTCCTCTCACCTCTGCAAGGTGCCAGCCACCCCCTGGCTTTCTGGGTTTCCTATCAGACATCGCCGGGGGAAGCCCCGCTTGCTTGTTCGGTCTCCAACGGCCTTCCACTTGTCACTTCTCACCTGTTACCTGAGGGAGCAGCTGTCGGCTGTTCACGTCTATTTTAGCTGGCAAGAGCAGCGGTCTTAATGTAATGAACTGGTATTGAGATAGATCAGCTGACTCGGAGTCAGGGGAGGAAGCTGTGTGCAGGGAAATGAGAAGCCAGGGAGAGCAGAACCAGCTTTCTTTCCACAGGGCTGAACTCGGGCCTATTACAAGAAGACACAAATCCCCAGAAAACAACCAGGTTGCAGCCATTTGAACCACATTTTTGCCCCAGAGCATCTGATTGCTCAGAAAATAACCACATTTCATTAATGCGTTGTCCTTTAAAGTTTCTTATACCCAGAGATCTCAGGACTTTAAAACATTTACTAAGACTCAAACATGGAAGAGTTTTTTGTTTGTTTGTTTTTTACTAATTAGATCTTTGCCAAACATTAGCTTCTTCCACTGAAATGCAGCCATATAGATATAGATATATATATCTATTTCTATCTATCTATCTCTATATAGATATACGTTACTGCCTCTATTTTTCAAGTTTTAAGTTTTGCACATGCCGTTTTTTCACATCATAAGCCACCCACTTGTGCATGCTTACTTACTCTGAACGGCCCGCATGGACCCAGGCGAACCCAGTGGAAATGTCCATTGTAAAACCAGTAACATTGTGGTGGGTTCGTACAAGAAAGCAGAACAGGAAATCAATGTAAGGTAGAAAGATCTGGGGAATATTGTCCGTGACGGTACATGTGGACTAAGGAAAGGGCTGCTGCCTCACTGATGGCTCACATCACCAGGGCTGGCCCGTTATATAGATAAATTGGACAGATGCCCAGAGCAGCAGAATTGGAGGGTCGACATTTCTGGAGCTGATTAGAGATCAGTGGCTTCTGACTGGCCAGCTACATGAACGAGGGGGAAGGGTGGCAATATTCATTTTGCTGAGGGTGGTAAGATACCTAGGGCTGCCCCCAGGTATTAGAGAAATCAGGGTTTTCCATCCCTGTTTCACCGTAACTGCAACGCTGAGCTCCTTTTCTTTTCGTGCAAAATGCGGTAGGGGTCATACAGGAACTACGCTGTGAATGTTTAGGTTGGAAAGCAAAGCACTCCTCCCGGGTCTCCACCAAACCTTCACCAAGGCATTAGGAGACCAACCCTAGGGTCACGCGGAAAGACTAAACCCAAGGCATCCTGACCAGGCACAAATAGCCAAGACCTTAGTTTGACTTCTCAACTGAAAGACGGCACCTCCAGCAATGCTACGCCCCTGTTAATAACTTGATTGGTATGAAAGAAACCAGCCCAGATCGTTCCCTGCCAAGTGCACTCTGCTATTAGTTCCTCTCCCTGGACGGGTAAAAGCTCTGCAGACCTGCCAAGCAGGGGCCATGCCTGGCTGAGAATATGTGCAATGGGCTGCACGTGGAGAGTGATTCCCTCCGGGGCTCAGGGGAGGAGACCTGCTGCATCTGGTGCACATGCTAGGAATCTCCTCGTTCCTAATGCAGTCTGCTTCTGCAAAGCCCAAGTTTGGGTGGCTGCGCCGGGCAAAGAGTGATCGCAGTTGTCTTGTCTCTGGCTGTCCCTCCATCTAACCCCCTCTCCCCTGTCAGGTTCTTAAAACCTACCCGGAAACAAAGGTGGACTTAGGGTCATAGAAGCATAGGAAATGCGGGTTGGAAGGGACGGCAGGAGGTCACATCTAGCCCAACCCCCTGCTCAAAGCAGGACCAGCCCCAACTACATCATCCCAGCCAGGGCTTTGTCTAGCAAGGTCTTGAAAACCTCCAAGGATGGAGCTTCCACCACCTCTCTGGGTAACCTGTCCCAGTGCTTCACCACCCTCCTTGTGAGAAAGTTTTTCCTAATATCCAACCTCAGCTTCCCTTGTTGCAACTTGAGCCCATTGCTCCTTGTCCTGTATCTGCCCCCACTGAGACCAGTCCAGCTCCATCCTCTCTGGATCTACTCTTCAGGGAGCTGAAGGCTCCTACTAAATCCCACCTCAATCTTCTCTTCTCCAGACTAAATAAGCCCAGTTCTCTCCGCCTCTTATAAAAGTCCTGTCCCCCAGCCCCCGAACCATTTTCATTGCCCTCTGCTGGACTCTCTCCGATTTGTCCTTGGAGACTTGCCTTGTCTTGCCACATTGAAAACCAGTCCTCTCCCCCAAGGAATACAGACCCAGTCTTCAAACCCTGGGGCCATGGCTGAGTACAAGGCAACTCTTGGGAGGGTCAAATGCAGCCTCCATATTTTTAGTCCTTGAAGCTTGACACTAAGAGTAGGAAAAGGAGAAGGTCAGTCGGTGGTGAGGGGGAGGAGGGGATTCAGGTACGCGTGGGTGAGCACACAAAGCAGCCAGGTGTCCACACTTGCACACAGTGGGTATAGATGGGTCACCTTGCTGGGGGCTGAAACAGGGAGGGGGTGCCGGACACAGCGAGGCAGCGGAGGGAGAGCGACTGTGCAACGAGGGCACTGGGCCAAGCAGGGTGTGGTAGGACCCTGTGTAGACTGCACTGAGACTGCGCACACGTGATCTCAAAGAAGTGGCTGCCCGCTCATACGTGCCACTGCCCTCCAGCCCTCCCTGCTGCCTTCCCGCATGCATTTGCTGCCACTTCCCAGCTGGCGAAGGAAAGTTGCCACTAGACAAAAAATAAGGGACGGAGCCCTGCGTCCACCAACACGGAAACACTCGCGCACGCTCCCAGACGTACGCGTCAGACGTGAAGAATGGGCCCTCCAGCCGTGGGAGTGCCAGCCTGCTCCCGACCCACTGTTCAGGCAGGGAGGGAAATGTGTCACGTTCACCAAGTGCCAGGCACAGCCCAAGGAAGTGCCTTGGAGTGTCTCGGGTGCAGCACTCCTTTGTGACAAACCAGCTGAGACTTACAGGAGCTGGACATAGGGAAGCAACTCACCTGAGCACCTCATTAAAGCCAGGAAACCAGCTCTAAATCTCTCTGAGCCCACTGCACACCAGATCAAGTAAACCCCTTTACAACCAGAACCCAGGGCCAGGACTTTGTTCCAGTCGTACCATTAGACCTGTTCATTCTCAGGCCACTAACCCATAAACCAAGTAATTTCAAGCAAAAATGGCCCAGGACTCTGCCTCCTCCGCCCCCCCTGCTGCTTCCCAGCACAGACTGAGTGGAAGCAGCACTGCAGAAAAGGGTCCCACGCTCCTCTGAGGTTGGGACTGTAACAATACAGACTCGGGAACATTTGCTAATGTACCATGACGTACCGAGCAATAAATATTTAAAGCCACGCTCCTCAAATCTATAAGCACAGGACAGCCTGTGATGCAGCAGCCTTGGCTGGACAGTTATTTTATTGTCTTGATTTGCCTCCTTGCTCATTCACTGCATTTAGACCCAGTCTGCAATAGGTCTCCCAGTCAGCAAAGATGAACACCGCCCCCCCCTCCGCCACTACCCCCTCTACCAAGGAGCAGGAGTTGTTGCCTGGTCAGGGAGTGCCGACTGCAACTCACCCCAATGGTGCCAGGGTCCCACATCTGCCCCTCCACCATCAGACCTTAATGCAATTCATAACCCCTCTCCATTTCCTGCCCTGCAAAGTTGCACGGCAGGACCAGGCGGGAAGCACTTACCTGGAGGATGACACGGAGTCTGCAGTCTTGACTCGCCCAGCTCCAGACAAATTAGACACGCACCGGGGGTAGGAACGGAAGTGGCCCCTTCCTGGATGGTGCCACCCCACCAGGAGCTTGCTTTTTCCTGCCCCTCGGGCTCTGGCTTGTCCTCTTAGGAGAGGATGATGGGCTCCCTCCCCTGCCTGCTCTCTGCTGCAGACGCCCTCGCTGGCACTGGCGTGCTCAGTACCGGAGCTACATCTCTGCTCGGTGCCAGAAGTAAGGCTGCTGAGCTGTTCCAAGCCCAGCCTCATTAAAGGGCCACACGCACTGGTCTGGCAGCACCTGGGAGAGGATGGGGCCAGCTCTCTATGCACCCTCTTGCTTCCCAGGGGGAGGGGGAGCCCTGTCAGGTGTTTGAATAACAGACAGAAAAGCCTCCGAGAGCGCCAAGCTAGCCTGAGCCCTCTGCTCCCCGCTTCCAGGCCCTGCTCAGAAGCCCATCAGACTGAGTTGAAATGCCAGCACAATGCCCGTGATATGCCCAACCCTTGCTCTTCCCAGCCTCGTGCATTCGTGCACCCCTTTCCATTGCCTTCGATCCCAGTACAACGTCACAAGCTGCTAACCCAAATCAAATCCCTCCCAACTAGCCAGTCTCTTTATTATATCAGCCCCAAATGTCACAGGTGATAATCCAGCCCGGCTCTCCCAACAAAATACTTACCAGAAAGGGGTCCAGCTCACCGTGAGATTCTCGGGGCGACGAGACTCCATCAGTGCTAGGAAAAAGGAGTGTGGGAGACAGTCCCCCGCTCAACCCCAAACTCCAAATCCAAAAGCTGCCTGGAAGACTTCAGGTCCTGGCGAGTCTCTGCACCTTGTGCTTTCATTGCTGTGACACTACCATCCAGAGGAGAGCAGAAAACACAGCTGATCTCAGAGGACATCCCAGTCGCAGGGGATGCCGGGCCAGCAGGGAAGAGGAGGACAAGAGTCCAACACAGAAGAGTGCCAAGAAGCTAGAAAAGGCCTCCTGGAAGGGAAGAGGAAACACAGGAGATATGAGGGAG